TCCCAGAATTCCCCAGCCAGCGCTGGCTGGGGAATTCTGGGAGTTGAAGTCCGGACATCTTCAAGTTGCCAAGGTTGAGAAACACTGATATAATGGTTACAATGACTCTTAATCATCTTTTGTGACCTGACAAGCCAAGTCAATGGGGAAGTCAGATTCAGTTAACCCTGTGACTAACTTAACAATTGCACTGATTCAAGAAAGGTTATAAAACAGGGCTAAACTCACTTAGCAGGTCTCCCTTAGCAACAGAAATAAATTTTGAGGTCAATTGTTGTAAATCACAGACTACCCTTACTGCTTTTCTCCTATTTTCAACACAACACTCCTGGGAGGTGGGTTGAGTTGAAATTGAGTGACTGATCAAAAGTCACCCAGCTAGATTACACTCTTAAAACAAGGGTAAAACACAGATTCCTGGTTTCTAGTCTGATGCCTTAACTTCTAGACCAAACTGGATTTTCTGCTCTAGGTAAGCTATACTGAGTTGGTGACCTGAATTCAATAAATCTAAAGACTAAGAAAGGGAGAGAGACCTTCCTCTGTATTTCAGTTATTAAATTTGTTTTAATGCTCAGGAGCTCACTGGTTTGTTTATGAGCTGCCAAGTCAGTGTCTTCACTGCCTCTTCAAGTCTTCCAACAGTGGACCTCCATCATGGCTTGTAATTGAGTTCATCCACCTTGCTGCTGGTTGCCCATGCGCCAGCATTATGGACTTCTTTATAAACATAGGTCTTTGCATAATGTGTCCAAAAGGAGATAGTTTGAGCCACAGCATGTCCACCTCAAGTGAGAACTCTTGGATTGAATTGTTTTCATGGCAATCCATGGTGTTCTTAGGAATCTTCTCTCTAACACCAAAGTTCACAAACATCAATAGTCTTTCCACCCTACAGCATCACATGGAAAGCCACTGCATGCATTCTTCTGATTTTAACTATAGATGCATCAAGGCAACTGGATATTTTTTCCGAGGCCTTCATTGCTACCTATCAAATGCTACCCTGAGGCTTATTTCTTGATTACTCAACATTGATGTTGACAGACAATCCTAAAAGGCATTACTCCAGTGTTTCCATTGTCAGTTCTAAAGCTGATGGCTAATCTGTTACTAGTTTAGTCTTCTAATGTAATCCTAGGTCAAACATGTTGCAGCAATCTAAATGAGCAGCAATGGTGGGTCATGAGCTTATGATCAATTCAAGAGAAAAAGTACTTTATTTAACTTATATGCCTCCCCCTATCTCACCATAGCAACTTTGAGCAGTTAATACCATATGAACTATAAAACAGAACAATATTAAAAAAAAACCTATAATGGCAACAGGAGACAAAACTAAATGAACAATAAATTAATACCTGACGGGCTTCAACCAACTTCCTAACTTTCCTGGCCAGATCAACATCCAGAGCTTTCAAGTTTTCAAGAAAGAAAGAAAGAGAGAGAGAAAGAAAGAAAGAAAGAAAGAAAGAAAAGATAAAGAAAAGAAAAAGAAAAAGCAAGAAAAGAAAAAGAAAGAAAAGATAAAGAAAGAAAAGAAAGAAAAGCAATGGTACTTTGAGCAGTGGCTCAGTAGCTAAGATGCTGAGCTGATCAGAAAGGTCAGCAGTTCGGTGGTTCGAATCCCTAGTGACGCATAATAGAGTGAGCTCCTGCTACTTTCCCCAGCTTCTGCCAACCTAGCAGTTCGAAAGCATGTAAAAGTAGTAAAATAGGAACCACCTTTGGTGGAAAGGCAACAGCATTCCATGCGCCTTCAGCATTTAGTCATGCCGGCCACATGACCACGGAGAAGTCATCAGACAGCGCTGGCTCTTCAGCTTTGAAACAGAGATGAGCACCACCCTCTAGAGTCGGGAACGACTAGCACGTATGTGCAAGGGGAACCTTTACTTTACCTTCAAGTATGTTTTTT